CAAAATGAATAAAGAAAGAAGAATAGGGCGAGGTAGAATAACAAAAATGTGGGCTAGATCATGCATAGTGATTGCATAGGATGTGTTTGAGAGACATGCTCGGCAAGATGCGTATAATCTACCTTAGACCACGGGGGGCGATAGAAGTTCCATTAGTAGCCGTTTGTTTGAATGCTAGAAGGCTAGAGTATGCTAAGCTCGATTCCATTCACGGTGACTTTTTCCCGGATAGACAAGCCAACCTTAGATCCCATTCAAGTTTGATCATAACCTCTTAGGCCTTAGACATTTTCACGATCATGTGTTTCGTTCGAGGACGAACAAACGTTCAAGTCTGGGGGGATTTGATCATATCATCTTTACTTGAGAATTTTATGAGTGATTGGGATCTTTATCATCGGATTCATGTGCATATGAGTCGTCTAGGGGTAGAGTAGGTCCTTGTTTTGTCCATTTCAGGATCAGGTGGTGAGTGAAGTCTCCGGGAGAAAACAACGGAAAAAATCAGACGAAAACGCGGAATGTGGAACAAGAGCAAAAACCAGGCTACCGCCCTAGAAAGAGATCTGGCCGCCCTAAAGTGATAGAAGCCTCGAGATTTAACAGAAAATTCAGGAGGGCCGCCCATAAGTTCTGCCGACCGCCCGAAAATGTGAAGCATATTCGGGCTCCCGCCCTGAAACACAAAGAGACCGCCCATTTCTGTCTGACGAAATTCATTTGTTGTTTTGGGTCATTTCCAAGCCCATTAGTGAGAAAGAAGAAAGCCCTAGGGTTTGCTGAACAAAAGAGGAAAGAGGGAAAGAAAAAAGGGATCTTTTGGCCATTTTTGAAAAGGGAGAAAAACACTTGGGGGAAAACTTGGAGCTTGGGAGACTTGGAGAAGAAGAGAAGTGATCATCACCATTGAAGACCAATCTAAGCATTCCTTTCTCTTCTCTATCATGTTCTCTTTTGTTTCTTCTTGTTTTCTTCCTTTGAGTATGGAGTAGAACCCTAGTTGTGGGGGAGGGGTCCCCCTTTTGTGTATGGATGTTGGGTTTTCAATCTATGGTACTCTTTTAGTTGTTTCTATTGGTTTGATGTCTTATCCTTCATGCTTTTGATCTTGGCAAAACCTTGATTGAATGATCTTAGAACAACATTGATCATAGACATATGGGAATGGTGTTTTGACCTAGACATCAAATGAACAAAGCATTCACATTGAGAGATGGTTTGACTTGTTTAGGGTTTATGATAGGGGTTGTTAATGCACCTAAGAGTCTTCTAGATCATTGAGAGATGGGTAGTTGATTTTCTAGGTAGTAGATCTAAGCTTGAGAGAGAAAGATCTTATACAAAGAGCCTTGAAATCCCCAATTAGAAATGATGATCATGAGTGCCATCACATTTTGAACATCCATACTCGTGAAAGGGACCCCGAACCCACAACATTCGTGTCCAATCGTTTTCATCACACAAGTTTCGTTTGCTCATTTGACCCTCATTTCATATTTACATTTTCACAAACACCTTGCAATCAATATTTTCCATCACCTTTGATCTAGTTTAAGAATGGATTAACACAACCTAGTCCTCGTGATCGACCCCGGTACTACAACTACCGTATACTTGCGGATAGTGGTACGAATCGGGTTACAAATTTAGAACTCGGTGCGTGCGCATCAGCTCGTGAACCAACCAACGATCTGCATTTCATTTTATATTCCTACATATAAAGGGCAAAAGTGTCATACACCCTACATTGACTGGGTACTATGCCCTTGCCACGAACGGATACAATCTTGATGGTTTCTCGAGATGCGCCAAACCCTCGCTATTGAGTTTATCCACAAAACCTACTGAAGCTTGGTATGTATTTCCTGAAAGATGTTTGATGTGATCAGAAAGAATACTATAGATGTCAAACAGAAGCATTATCAAAAATACCTTTACTTTGCTATTTTTACTTCAACACATACATTTTTCCAGTTGTGACCATGTGACCCATGTGATCCGAAATATTACGTGGTCACATTTTGATCTCATTGCTTATAACATTAAATTTATGATGTTTTAATCAAATGATTAGTAAGATATACAAGGTATGAACATAATGAATTAGTATGATCACTATAAATTTAACGTTATAATCAATAAAATCAAAATGTAATCATACTCTATTTTAGGTCACATGGTTACAGGTGGAGAAAGGTATGTGTTGAAGTAAAAATAGCAAAATAAATGTATTTTTGATATAATGTATTTTTGATATAATGTCTGTCAAACATAAAGAGAGGGGGAATCATCTATCGAATCAAAGACCAAAACAAGGACGATCGGACCATCCAGTTGAATTCTCCAAGTTCAAGGACCTCCGTGACATAAGTCAAATACTCGCGGCAAAAAACACGCACTGGTCAGATAAAAACCTACTAAATTGGCTGCAACCAGACATCTATCAAAGATGATAATCTACACATGCTCTTAACAATGATAACAGGAAAATGCAGCAAATGCCAGAGTGTCTACAGAAGAAATCCAACACCTTTATTTCAAGAAAAAATGTCTCCATCTCCAAGTGATGGGATTAAACACGATAAAAGGACGTGGCATCAAACCTTTCTGCTGGAGATAATTCCGATTGTTAGAAAACAAACATTCCATAACTAACTTTCTTTTTGTAAGGTAACAACTAAAGATTCCAGAATTTATATAGCTCCAAACATTAACTAAGCTTATTGAAGGCAACTGGTTTCCTATCACGGTCAAGTAGATTCATGTTATATAGTAAATCGAATAGCAAACTAAAGTGTTTATCATGTTAAGTGTCTTATAAAGATGCATATAACATGACAAAAAAGGGCAGTCCGGTGCACAAAGCATCCACGTTGAGGGGGGTCCGGGGAAGGGTCCCACCACAAAGGTGTATTGTAGGCAAATCTTACCTTACAGAAGAGGCTGCTTACCGGGAAAAGCAAATGATGAAACTTAACAGATAAATTCTTGGACAATTTGGTTCAAAAATATGTCGCCCTTTTTAGGTGTCTTTTCATATGCAAAGGAGTATGGTTCTAACTTCTATTAGCCGCATACTGGAGGAGTGCTAGCCAAAGGAGACTTCGCGGGCATGCAGGAACCGAATTAATGAAGTACTAGCAAACTCAAATCATTCCATACCAGGTAGGTAGAAACATACTCCAGTATGGCCAGCTCCAAAAAGAAGGAAATGACCCCATTCTCGGGATGATAAGGCGGAAGAGACAGTGTCTGCATATGCAACAGGAACAATTGAATAAAGCAATCCATTTGAAACAATTTGATCGATTAAAATTTTTGAGGCTAGAGACCAAACATCACAACCCTCAGAAAGAACAAAGCAGATTCTCAAACTGCAGTAGCAGTCCTTCAAATTCTTCAGACATCAGAGACGTAAAAATCAATTTTAGCTCTTACAATCGCCTGTTCCTTAAATTCGGAAGCCTTCAGAACCCAAATTTATTTACCTTAGAAATATGAGCTCAATCTTAATCCTCCATCAGATCCTAAACATTTCGAATCTCATCAAAAGTTCAATTTAAATCCAAGCAGGACTGGTCCTAATGGTTTCCAAATTTCCTAGACGCAAGTTCTTCGGCTAGAAACTCCCATTTGATCACAGTGTCACTAGTAATAATCCTCATGATAAAAGTCTTCCTAAGCGAAAATCAAAATCTCCAAAAATGAAAATGGACAAGTATGACGACGATCGATGAAGAAGAGAGGCGGGGAACATCGATTTCGGGCCATAAACAATAAATGAAGAGAAAAGAAGAAAAACAAATTTGAGAATGGTACCGTCCAGATGTCGGCAGGGACGAGGATGGCGACGGCGACGGAGCAGAACCAGGTATATCCGATGGTGAGGAGAACGTACCGAGGAACTTCCGGTCCGGAGAAGTACCGGAGAGCGTGAAGACCACTAAGCCTAGCGTTAGTGGCACCGAGATCAGGTAGAACACCCACCCCACATCTCTCTCTCTCTCTCCGTGACAATGGTGAAAAGAGAGTCTCGCTCTTCGTAGAGAGAGAGAGACGAGAGGAAGAAAACGAAACGCCGAGTTATACGAGATCAAGGACCCGCAAGATCGCTCGACTCGTCCGTGTACGTGCGCGTGACACCAACGCGCCGTTGAGAGGGTCGAAGCTCCTTGGCATATAATTATTAATTATATATCGCCTTCGGCCCAAGGCGCTCTGGTCATGAATAAACCCGGTCATGACCTAATCCGCTTTCCCATGGACTCGCTGGAACTGCATGCATGTGGTTCGATTCCGTCATACCGGATAATTCTAGGTTTACCGGTTCTGAGATTTGATAACCGGACGGTTTAGGATTACTTCGATGGGAGATGATGAAGAGCTGGTGATTATGTTTGAGGGAATTATGATTGGAATTCAATCATATATGGTACAATGTGTTATATCGATTTGACAATAATTTGCGTATAAAATAAAAATTCTCACCGTTTTTTTTCTCTCTTATCATTATATTTATATTTTCACGTATTAAATCCAACAATATTTAGTTGAGTTTTTTGGTAATACACATAGTTTGGTTATTATTCTCATGATATTAATTTTCAAATCTTGTAATATTTTTGAACCAAAATTTTTATAAAAAAATCCAAACTGACCGTTATATTATATAAACAACCATATACTATTATGTAAATATAATATAATATAATATTAGTACTCCATGCGTGGAGCCCACTAGACCAATTCAAGTTTAATTTACAGGCCCAGCTCTATAGATGATCTCGGCCCATTTATGTCCGATATATCGATGGTATTCTTCTCTTTGTGAAACCCTAGCATCGTTGCAGCCGCTCAAGCTCATATCATTCCTTCTTCCGCGGTCTGTTGTTGCCGTGTTCATCGCAGAAGATGAAGGTGATTTTCGTAATACTCCCTTAGATTTCTTTGGAGAGAGGCAGCCACTAGGGTTTTTTGTATTCTGATGTGGTTTTTTGTGCCTCTTTCAGTTCAACATTGCGAACCCGACAACTGGTTGCCAGAAGAAGCTCGAGATCGACGATGACCAGAAACTGTAAGCGATCTCGTTTCTTTTAATTCGTGATGAAATCGCAGATAATGTTAGGGTAAAGATAATATAGGACGATATATATGATAATGCGGGCAATCTCTCCCTTACAGTTTGCCAGTTTGTTCAATGGCTCTTTCCGGATGCGGAAACAACGATTATTGATCGTTTGTATTAGAATATGAAAATATGTGACTGGTTATATATTCTACTAGCTCAGCTTCCATGGAGATTGGTTTCACTGTTGAATTTGAGAGAGAATTCGCTTATTTGTCTGGGTGAAGTTATTGATTTCCGATGTTTGATAATGCAGCCGGGCTTTCTTTGACAAGAGGATCTCTCAGGAAGTCAGTGGAGATGCCTTGGGAGAGGTGTGATTCTCACCTGTCTAATTACTTTGATCGTAGATGAATTCATCATCATATTGGTTGTAGAAATTAGGGTTTATTTAAACCCTTCAATCTTTTGGTTTACAGGAGTTCAGAGGATACGTGTTCAAGATCATGGGAGGATGTGACAAGCAGGGTTTCCCAATGAAGCAAGGAGTTCTCACTCCTGGACGTGTCCGCCTTCTGCTTCACCGAGGTATAACTCAGGCCTCTACTTCTCATGTTCTATCTCTTCGATACAGTTTTCAATTGGGGATTTACGTTTTCTCAATGTGAGTAGGCACCCCTTGCTTCAGAGGATACGGTAGGAGAAACGGAGAACGCAGGAGAAAGTCTGTCCGTGGGTGCATTGTGAGCCCCGATCTCTCAGTCTTGAACCTGGTTATCGTCAAGAAGGGTGAGAACGACCTTCCCGGGTTAACTGATACCGAGAAGCCGAGAATGAGAGGACCGAAAAGGGCCTCAAAGATCCGCAAGTTGTTCAACCTCTCCAAGGAGGACGATGTGCGGAAGTACGTCAACACTTACCGTCGCACCTTCACAACCAAATCCGGTAAGCAAAATCACTTGGAACAGCGCATAATTCCTCTAGAAAATGTTGGGCCTTCCTCTCATCGACCAAATTCATGTTTTTGCAGGCAAGAAGGTCAGCAAGGCCCCCAAGATCCAGCGGCTGGTTACTCCATTGACCCTCCAGAGGAAGAGGGGGAGAATTGCGGATAAGAAGAAGAGAATCGCAAAGGCGAATGCTGATGCGGCTGAGTATCAGAAGCTTTTGGCGACCCGCTTGAAGGAGCAGAGGGAGCGTCGCAGTGAGAGTTTGGCCAAGAAGAGGTCGAGGCTCTCTTCTGCTGCCTCCAAGCCATCTGTTGCTGCTTAAATCACTTCGCTCTGAGAGATTTCAGTCTGATCTGATCTGATTTTGGCCATCTGTTGGATTACAGTTATTTTCAAAAGAGACTCCGTGAGAATTTTGAACCTCGGTTTTTTTTTTCGCTTGTTGCATTTTCAGGAAGACAGCTTGTTGTCAGTTATATTGGTGGTTCGTGCTAAGCCTACTAGGTGGTCAATTGTAGAACGAAAGAGTAATTGAAAAATTGAATTTCTTATAAATGATAATTTTATGAATTGAAATAGAATCTAATCAAATTTCATATAAAAACTGAATTAAATACTTTTAAAAGGCCAACCTTGTTCCTGTGTTTGGTCAATTGTGTTGCTAGTTCCTTCGTATGCTTAGCGTTAGTTCTTTTTTTTTTTGTGAGACAATTATCTTTTAATTTTTTTAGCAGAAAAAGATTGATGAAAAAACCTCTGTTGCTTCTTTATTTGGCAATGAGCCACCATCTCTATCTATTATTCTCACATCCGAAATCTACCAGACTTCGATAGAAAAGTGAAACACACCAGAAAAGATGAACTGAATCGGGTTACCAGCTGGGTAGTGACACAAACATATATGCCCACCAAAATCTTTGCTATATATCAAGAAGAGAGTGCATCATATGATAACATCACAAGGACAAATCAAGAAAAATGGGTAGGTTTAAGACTTACAACACATGCTACTATTCGTCGGTATCTCCTGAGCCGGTCCAGGAACGACGTTAATCTCCTTACCAGCAGCAAGTGAACTGAGATTGCCATTCCCTTGTTCTTCTTCTGCACCGGCAAGCCTCTTCTTGTTCACAATGTTAAAGATCTCTGTCAAGACAGTCGAGAAGGCAGATTCCACGTTGGTTGCGTTTAGAGCCGATGTCTCCAAGAAGAAGAGTCCTTCTTTCTCGGCGAATTCCTTGGCGTCTTCCGTTGGGACATCCCGTTGGTCTTCGAGATCTGACTTGTTCCCGATTAGGATAATCACGATGTTCTCGTCAGCATGAGCACGCAGTTCTTCCAGCCAGCGGGGGATGTGTTCGAAAGTTTGCCGTCTTGTTATGTCGTAAACCAGCATCGCCCCGACAGCTCCCCGGTAATATGCACTTGTTACAGCTCTGTAACTGTACCATACACACATCATTCAAGAAAGAAGAACCTCAGTGAAGGAGCAGACACCAGGGACACATGTACAGAGTGTGTGTACACAAATCATAAGCATGAAGGGAGACACAATCAGAATGCTTCATATTGCCGAGCGGAGTGAAAACAATCTAAGCAAGAACTAAATTAGTTGACCCATGAATGGTGACTCGAGTTAAAAATCAAAGCTATTAAGCACCAGAATATCGGCTTGAAAGATGGTCCTTGTATCATAAAAAATTGACCAGATTATTTCCAAGGCCAAGATATTCTTCAGATGTGAACTAATACATGTGAAGAATCACAGCCGAAATGAGTCCCTATGATCAACCAACAGATTCCAATCGGAGTATGAGTTCAACTGCAAACTATATCCAATACTGCTATAAGGATTGCTTGACGTACGGATGGTTTTGCATAAACTGATTCTTCACGGTATAATCCGTAAAGTAGCTGAGCTGTGCTGAATATGAGTCCATTACTCAGATTCTCACTAATTCAGCTCGTCAAATTTCTTTCAAATACTCATGAATTGAAAACGTAAAATCTCAACCGATCACTAATCGAGATATTTGAGGCAGATCAGCAGGCCTTATCGAAATTCAAAATTCGAAACACGAAGCTCATCTACAACTCATCATCGACTGCAGAGAAAAAATGGAATCCACGAGGATCGAATCCAAGCAAACCAACAGATCCAACGGTATCAATGAAAACGAGGCAATTCTACGAAGATTCGAGAGACGAGGAAAGGTTTACCGTTCTTGACCGGCGGTGTCCCAGATCTGAGCCTTGACACTCTTGTGGTCGATAACGAGAGTACGAGTCTGGAACTCGACGCCGATTGTGGACTTCGAATCCAAGCTGAATTCGTTCCTCGCGTACCGAGCAAGTATCTGCGACTTCCCCACCGCTGAATCGCCGATCAGCACCATCTTGAACACGTAGTCTATCTTCGCTGACGGATCTCCATATCCTCCACTCGCCATCTTCACCTCCCTCTCTTTTTCTCTCTGGCTGAGCTAAATCCTCTGTTTCAGTTCAAGACGAAGGGAAGAGTTGTTGTATTTTCTGTGATCTGCTACGCTCGAGCCTACGCAAACTGTCATACCGTCAATACGTTGACTTATGTCGACGTGGCAGAAAAGTATTGGCTCTGGTTTGACGGTCTTAGAGACCAGGCGCTGTGAAATGACGGATCGACAATGGTCTCGGCGTTAGGCGCATGTCTCGGCTGACGTCTTAACCATATGAGAACTAGACTGCAAAATCAAAATATTTAACCTCGCGATTTGCTATTTATATTGGGCCAAGCCTGGAATTTTATAGTTGGGTCAAGCCTTTAAGATTTATTTGGACACGTGGACGGTCCCGATGAGATATTACGTGTCGCCATCGGCATTAGGAAAAAGTGCCCGAGGTATATGGAGGAGAAATCCCCGATGTCGAAGCCGAAATGGAGGCTCCGAATCCAGACGTCGTCATGTCCGCCGCCGATGAAGATGCCGTCAAGGTCTCCTTCTCTCTTCCCGTTTCACTCTCCGTATTTTGTTGGGAATTGGATAGTATTCGCGATTGAATCGTCTCATTTTGTGTGTATTTATCTGTGATTGGTTTCGTTGTTTTGATTTTTATTACGCCAGGAGCTAGATGAGATGAAGAAGCGACTGAAGGAGATGGAGGAAGAGGCCGCGGCACTTCGCGAGATGCAGGCAAAAGTGGAGAAGGAGATGGGTGCTGTTCAAGGTTTTATCTCGTTTTCACCGTGTCTTCTTGTCACGCCTTAGGTTATTATTGGGCGTTTGGATCTTTTCTGAATTTGCTCTGTCGGAATCCGTTTTGAGTGGAATTAGAAACACTGGATTCTATGGTGATGTCTTCTCTCTGGATGATGGATTTTTCTTTTTTGGTAGTGCTCTAGTTGATCTTTGTAATTGAAGTTTGTTCGAATCGGCTGTTTTTTTCTCTTCACTGCATCGTATGCTCAATTGATTGTTTCGTGCAGATCCTGCAAGCATGGCAGCAAATCAAGCAAGCAAGGAGGAGGTGGATTCTCGATCAGTCTTTGTTGGCAATGTAAGAAACCATATCTATTCTTTTCCTGCCTTTTTTTTGTCCTTGAACCATTTATATTTTTTGGCGATGCCATAGCTTTTCTGTGTATCTGGACACAACTTGTGTTGAGATGTCTTATTCATAGCTGCTATTGATGATCTGTCAGAAGAGCTAAAAATATCAGACCGCTGTTATTGATTATTGTAATGTATTTTCTACCTTGCTAATGGACATAGTTTTGGTGTGTCCCTTGTCAAGTCCTGATGTTGATGAACTTTAGCGCACAGTCATGCCATGCAGTGCTTGCCTTTCATCATCAATTAGCTATAGTTTGCTGTTAAACATTTTGTACATCGTCTCTCAGTTTGTGTTGAGTTTGCTTCTCTTACGGGTGCTTTGCGGCACCAGAATCATTGTTTTACTCTGTGTCTCACTATGATCGCAGGGTTGTTCTCAAACCTGAAGTTCACTACATAGTAGCTCTGGATTGTCAAACTATGTTTTATGGTTATTTCCACATTTGTTTTGGTATAATGTTGGAAAAAAGGATCTGTTCTGATATGGAATGTGATGAGAATAGTAAAAAAAAAATGGAAGGAAAATTGTGGGAAAAGAAAAGTAAAAAAAATGTTTTAAGGAAAGAAAAAAAGAGAGGAAAAAGATGAGAAACAAAGAGATATGAGATATGGATAAAGATCACATGACTTGTGGAAAGTAGAAAGTAGGAAAGAGTCTGGGAACCGAGAGAGAAGAAACATTGTTCGAGTGACTGGTTATTATTAGAATGTACAAGTCTTTTGCCATCATTGAGGAGGAAGTGGTCTCTTGAAGAGGACAGTGAAGCAACTGGATGCTTTCCAGTTAACAAAGGCTGATGTCTCTGCCGGTGGTATTTGGAGCTCAAACAAGTTTGGTCGTTATGCAGATTCGGTGAGAGGCAAATGTTTGACGCTAACCAATGCTAATGGTTTTTCCCACTCTCTTTGGATAAAGAAGCTCATAATATTTATGTTCCAAATAAATCTTAGGGTGTTCTGTTTTGTTTGGTTTTCTGTTTTTTCTTTCTTTGAGGTAAGAAAACGAGGGTTATGCTGAACAAAGGACTGTCCTGTCTGATGGATTGCAAATGGGCAATCCAATCAGAGTAGTGCAGGTCCTGAGGGGGAAAGAGGAATCTCTTTGATCTAAAAACCATTCAGCAATCCAGCAACTAGAAACTTAACTGTCCATCTTGGTTGCCTGAATTCTTTGTTTAGCTCTCGCTTTCTCAATGCTTGTTTTGTGGAATTGGGATTGTGCCTTTGACCTGCAGGTTGATTACGCTTGTACACCTGAAGAAGTGCAGCAGCATTTTCAATCATGTGGCACTGTGAACCGGGTCACTATACTAACAGACAAGTTCGGGCAACCGAAGGGCTTTGCTTATGTGGAGTTTGTCGAAGTAGAAGCTGTGCAAGAGGCTCTGCAACTAAATGAATCAGAGTTACATGGTCGGCAACTGAAGGTATTTTAGAATTTAGAAACACATGATCGGTCTGAACACAGAACACTGAGAGAGACCTTATTGGCTACAACTACAAGAAGATTGTGTCCGATAATTTTCTTTCCTTTTTTTGTTTGCAGGTATTGCCAAAGAGAACCAACGTTCCCGGAATGAAACAGTATCGTCCTAGGCGTTTCAACCCTTACATGGGTTACCGAGTTCGCAGGCCCTTTATTCCTCCGTATTTTTACTCCCCCTATGGATACGGGTACGCTCGTTTTCTTCTTCATCCCGTAAATCCGTTACAGCAGTTATTCTAGCATTCCGGGTTTCGTTTCATCAGAATCTCACACAATGTTGCTCGGTTTGGTTATAATGCAGGAAGGCTCCAAGGTTCAGAAGGCCAATGCGTTACATGCCTTACCAATAAATCTCTCCCCCTCCCCTCTTGAGAACAGTATCTACTATCAAAGGGCCTTCCCTTGAGCATTATGTGTATGTCTTTTCACTTGGCCTGAACTGAACTGAACTGTATGGCTTAGACATCCATTTTGAACCTCGACCATGTTCTCCTTTGTACGGAATATGCTCTCTTATATTTCCATGTTGACTTAATAGGCTGATCATTCTTTTTTCTGATACAAATTTAGCCCCAGAAATTTATCTTAATTGTGTTGAGATATATGAATTAACTATTGGTAATAGTATTATCCCAAGGTAAGACCCAACTCTCCAAGGTTTCAGTTTGATGTTTGGATTGTTCTTTTAAAAAAAATGCGATTACGCGAATAGCAAACAAATTAAAATATAAAAAGGGTGTACATACACGCAATAAACGCCAAGTGGGTCCCACGTGGCGGAGAGTGAGACAAGATCCCATGCAAGATCGTCCATCTCCGTTGTCCACTGGCCGAAGTCGTCCCGCATATCTCTTCTTACCCAGTGGATGCGACAAATCAGGCAACGTGGAAATAGACAGTCGGGCGATCTCGTGTATTAATTGTTGTTCATCAATTCTCTTGTGTCTCTCCTTATGCTATGGAAGGATGTTCCCAATCTCACGCTTTGTAGGTAAATTCAATTTTTATTCATTTATATCTATGTATTTTAATTGACTGAAACTGACAGCTTACAGATTAAATTAAACCATATCTTAATAATGTTTATATAGATTATACAAAGAGAAATAAAGTAACCAATGTTTTTATTAGAAAAAGAATAAGAAGACTGTGGATTGTAGAAACAGACACATGTTTACGATGGAGCAGCAAGCACAGGTGCTGACATTTAATAACATAATAAGATGAGAAAATTATTGAATGCAGGCACTTACCCCACACACACACATACAAAAAAATAAAAATAAAAATAGAGTGGACCCTCTGCTCTGTATTTATTGCTCTCATATCTTTGAACCCTCTTCTCCTCTGGTTTTGTTTTAAAAGAGGTAAGATTTTTTTTTTATATATATATATATAAAATAGATAAATAACATAAAATATAAGCAGATATTCGGACAAAACCGTGAATTTAGAAGTGAAGCTCATTAATCACGGGTTCTAATAATGGAAATCTCTTTCTCGCTTCATTCTACAATATTATTACGAAGCTGCTGCTTCTGCTGCTGCTGCTACTATCACTATCCTATGAAATCACCCTGTCTTTGACCGAAACTTAATTCATCCTCAAACTGATAAAAAAAAAACTCTCTGAAATTGGTAAAGCTTTAGCAATCCAACACTTCATCGAGTGAATCATCCAAGGTCATAAACCCTAAAAGTAATCGCGTTCTTACATCTCAACAATCTTACCAATTGAATTTTCCCGATTAAATTTTATACAAACCTCAAATGATATATACTTATATATATGCGCGTGTATATATATATATATATATATATATGATTAGACAAGAAATAGTGCTAAGAGGCTCAGAGAGAGCTTCTGCCTGTGCCTCAGTGTCATCTTGTATTGTTCCTTTCACCCCATCTGCTTCCCTTTCTCTTACACATCTCTTCCCCATTTGAAATTACCATTTTACCCCTCCCTCACCCTCTTCCCAACTCACCCCCCTCCCTACTCATCTCACTTCTACTCCCCCCCTCCTTCCACAAAAAAAAAAAAACACAGAGGAAAAAAAAAAGAGGATCTCACTCCAATAATTTTTAATTTTTTTTTTTTGGGTTCCATATTTTTTTTTAAACAGAATCTGTTTCCTGCACTTACCCATATGAGTTTCTGGCGCTGTAATTCGGTAGAATTCGATTGAAAATGGTTCCATTTAGTAATTCTCTCCTTATTCTTCTTCTTATTCTTCTTCTTCCTCCTCTCCTTCCCACACAAGTCTCGTCCTTTCTTCGGCCTGCCCAACCTCCGTCTTCTCACGAGGTAAGCAATATAACATACTCAACTCTCTCTTTATCTCAAATCTTAATGAATATCCCAATTGCCGACGAAAACTATTAAATTTATGGGCTTTGACAAAAAAAAATCTTTTTTTTTTCTGGTGGGTGCCTGAGGAAGATGGAGGAAATGTCCGAGGACAAGACCCGGATTGGGTCGGCGCCGCCGAGTTGCCACAACAGATGCAATGGCTGTCATCCCTGCATGGCCATTCAGGTCCCCACCCTGCCGAGTCACGACCGAGTCTCCGCCGAGTCGATCCGATCTCCTCCGGGTCCGGGTCGGGTCTTCGACGCGTCGTCAGGCTCCTCCGGTGTCAACCAGTACTCCAACTACAAGCCCATGGGCTGGAAATGCCACTGCGACGGCCATCTCTATAACCCTTGAAAACTCTGCAGAAAACAAAATCGAAGCTTTCGTCTCTTCGGTTTCAGTTTGATCTCTCTCTCTTTTTTTTCTTAATTTTTTTTCCCGGGGGGAGCAGAATAGAGTTATGTTCTTGGATTCTTTGTAAATGTACGGCTTAATTTCTAAATTGTAAACAATGTTAAGTTAGATTGGACAAGACAGGGTTATCGCGTCAGTGGATTGATCTCTCTTCCTCACTCACTCGTCTCGCAGAATGTCGTTTCTCCTTGTAGTGTTTTCAATATTTACATGCTGACCATTGTGTCTCTAAGCACTTAATTAATGCGATTTATCAGAAGAATATATTGCTTTTGATGTGCATTTATTACATATATGTATATGTATATATGTGATTTGAAAAAAGAAAGGTGGGTAGGTATGAGATTTTAACGTGTAGGG